AAATATAAATTTTCATGAAAAAAATTTTAATTTATAAAATATAAGTAGTATTAAAAAACTAAAATTTCAAAAAGGTAACTCAAACATACACTAAATAGAAAACCATTGAGTCATGCCCGATTCGAATCTGGATTAGTCAGTGATCCAATGAACTTCTAGATACTAGATGGTCGTACCAAAAAAAAAAAAAAAAGTACCAGCTGATGTCTGTTAACTCAAAAAGTCTACTGTATCCCCGGTATACCAGCTGATGTGGTATCCCGGTCCAATAACAAAATGATAGGTAATAAGTAATAACCTTTTGCCAAATGATAGCCAACTCATGACATGCGATTGGAAAATTATTAACACCATTAAACTTTTATGCTCTCTCTTCTCCAATGCTCCCTTTCTCGCTGCATTTCGCTCAGTTGCCTGCCTCCCCTCCTACTCCTCCACCTCAATCAAAACAGAAACAAAAAATTATTTTCCATAGAGCATGCTAAGACCTCAAGAATTCGACTCCAGTAACAAATTCTCATGACCTAAATGAAAAATCTAAAAATTTTGAGGGAAATTTTCGTAGGCATCATCGACATAACATAAACATTTTTTTTTATAGGCCAACAAGCATAAATTGTCAATTGTCTTAAGAATTTTTTGTGATTTGTATTATACACCCATTTTGTTATTGCAAAACACAAACAAATCAAAGTACCAACCCCTCCCTTCTCCATCAAATCTTCCAAAAGACCAAACCAACCCCCATATCTCTCTAAGTTGTTGTACCTATGATTTTGATGATTACAAAACACATTTGAGTGACTAATTGATTTATTTAAGTGTGTAGTTAAATTGCCAATATACTGCAAAGTAAGCAAAATGAGATTGCGTTAAAAATGGCTCAAAAGGTAAAAATATGCAGAGAGCCGGCTTAATAAAATTGCAGCCGGCTGCAGATTTTGTTGAGCCGGCTCTACAGGCAAAAATTTGGAGACCATTGTTTGGCGCACGCGAAGAAAAGACGCAAAGCCGGCTCCAACTTTGCAATCGGCTGTGAGGGTGCATTTAATACACAACAGTCGAGTTTTTTGAAGATTATTTAATGTGTTAAAGTTGGAATCCCAAAGCCGACTTTGTAGTCGACTGTGGAAGAAAACAGAATGTGCAGGAAACCCGCAGAGCCGGCTGCAAAAATGGTGAGCCGACTGTACAGAGCTGGCTTTAGAAGTGTAAGCCGGCTCTACTGACAATTCTGTAACTCGAATTAAGCAACATGCAGAGCATTAAATGACCTCCAACGGCTAGTAACGGTTATTTTCGACCATGAGGTTATAAATATAGTTGGTAGAAGATCTGAAAAAGTTTAAAGAGCATTGTGTTGAATATCTTTACCTACCAACTTGTGTTTTAACTTGAGATTTTGATCTTTGAGAGATCTTTATTTGTAATTCTCTTCTTGTTCTATTTGTGAGTGATCTTGGGGGTGTGTTGATTCCTTCAAAAGTGATCTGTAGAGAGGATCTTTGGGGTTTAAGTGTAAAAGGGTGAGATTTGAGAAAAACACCCTTATTCTTGTAAAAGGATTGAGTGGCTCCTTTAAACCACCCTTGTTGTTGTTAGTGAAGAGTGTGGAGAAAATCCTTGGTGAGTGAAGTCAAGGTAGAGGACTAGGCTCCAAATGGTTGGACCGAACCTCCATAAATCATCGAGCAAGTTTTTATTCTCTACTCTCTTTAATTTTGGTTTTGTGGTTGTAAAAAGAGGAGAATTTTTGGAACTCCAATTCACCCCCCTCTTAGAGTACATTGAGTCAACATAAGTTTCTACAAGTGGGGAAAGAATCCATTTGGGTTTTGACCTCAAATCCCAGTATAACATCATCATTGCACTCTAATTGGGTATTTTGCATCTTGTAAACCCTATGTCTATACTTCAAAATTGTGAAGTTCAAACTAAAAATTTTACTACAATCTCTAGTTTAATTAGTTTTATTTACAACAATCTGGATTGTATTAAAAACTCAATCAACACTAATTTCACAAACCAAGTTCATATTATTGTTTGTGATGCTAAAGGAGACTAAAAAAATGGATCATACCTCTAATCCACATTTCATTAATGAAAAACCAAGGATGAAAGTGAAAATAATGGAGGAGGAGCAGTTTGATTTTGTGTCAATTTATCACTAAGAGTTTGCCATGGTCGTGGGGGTAGGGGTGGAACTGGTGGCTTCGAAGTCGGTGAACTGAAAAGTTAGGGCAAGGAAGGAAAGGAAAAGGCAAGTCTGAGAAGGGTGGGGGATTGCAGTTTGTAACGGCGCAAGCCATTCTCAGTAACAATATTAACACAAAATTTTTAATTATTTTTGCACATGAGCTGGCAGTATTTGATTGGGTAGGGATACAAATGACGTGCTATACCGGTGATACAGTATACATTCTCCTGTTAACTCGTGGATGATGAGGTAAACTTGGGTCCATTTTATCATACCTGGCAATTTTTAATTAGTAAAATACTCTTATTTTCAACAATCAATTACTGTAGTATAGACAAGACATCTGGTTTAAAATGGACTGATGTAAACACTTGTATTTATTTATACTATCTGTGGAAAATGAATAGATAGTCCAACAAATCATCCCTAACATGAGATTTTTTAAACAATTCTTGGACCAGCATTACGGAGTAAATAAAGGATCCAAATTACTAGGTTAAATGTCAATTTTAATTTTTTATTAAGATTTTGTATAGTTTTTATTTATTAATTTTTTTGCACTTTTTTAATTTTTAATTTTAAAAAATATATTTTTTATTATTAGTTTTTAAACAATTGGTCATAGGCAAGTCAAACCCGCTAAAAAAAAAGTACTTTTTATTGTGACAGTTGTTACTAGATCTGAATATCATGTGCTATTATTTTTTAATTAATATGTTAAATTTATTTAAATTAATATTTTAAAAACTAGATCAAGAGGTCAAACTATTTTGATCTCTTGATCTTGATTTAACCAATCGAATTGGTTTAACCGGTAAAATCGTTGACTTGATTGATTTGTTAGTAAACATATTATGGTGCACCATTAGTTCTAAAAGTCGCAAGGGCTGTAGTGGTAAATCCCTCTACCTTTTTCAATAATTTATTAACCCTCAAACTTTTATATTGAATTAAACCAATTTTTTTACAATTTCGTTTGACTTAATTAAATTAGTCAAAA